ACCGAGTCGCTTCCAAATCCAATACTACAGACCCCGCCACAACTCCATTCGGTAGCAGGCTCAGTTGTACGTTCTTTGTTTCGTAGATATATCTGTTTGCTCTTAGATGTAGCTGTTGGCTTTTTCCACCTGACTCCACCTAGACCACCTACCCCAAGTACCCCACCTACCCCACCTGCCGAGCCTACCCCACCTACCCCGCCCACCCCACCACCCCACCTGCCAGACCTACCCCACTTACCTAAGGCCCTATCTGGGCCTAACAAGTGAAATTTAGCCAGAACCTTTTCCCGAAGATGAGAACCCTTAAGGAGTGCAGCCCAGCAGAAAGCTTTTAACACAAGACGAAAAACCCTAAGGCGTGATTTCCCAAGACGGAAACCCAAAGGAATGAATCCAGCGGGAACCTTTTCCCGAAGACAGCCCTAAGCAGAAAAAGCAAGCAGAAAAAGCTGACACACAAAAAAGTTAGTGGCTTGGTGCTATAGACACCAAAAAGTCACAACTAAGATGCATGTTTTGCAACTCTCTGCAGAGATTAGCCGTTTTGGGAGCCAAAAAGTTACAACCAAGTCATTTGCTGAAAAAGCTGAAAAGTTACATTCGAGAGAGAAAAGCGTTATAACTAACTGTCCATCATCCAGAAAACCTGGAGGTCGTTGATCATTACGATAAGGTCTGCAGCGATACTGTACTGCACTTATATAGGGACTAGATGACCAAAGTGTTCAGATCTTTGTATTCAAGCCTTTAGCAGCAAAGTCAGTGCTCTCTTCTCCGGCGGCAGTTGCCGCCCTGCGCGCACCCGACGCTGTCTGCACGGAAGCAGATGAACCTAAGTCCTTCTTGGAACCGCCCCAAAATCCAAAAACCTCAAAAGGCTTAACCCCAAACCCTAATCTCTACTAAACCTAGCAGCCATTAAATCTCAAAGCCCGAAACAAACACTCCTGTCCCCTTATAGACCCAAAAGGAACCGTGTAGAACCCTTGCAGGACACAGATCCCCTCCGAATGCCGTTGTCGGAGGTAATATAATACCCTTCTAGAACCTCTCTAGAGCCCTTAACCCTCGTAGTACCTTTATCGGACTTTATCGGACATCGTATACCTAGAGTCACATACCCAGAAACCCTAACCCCTTAACCCAAACAACTCTAAGCCCAGCCCCTAAAGCCTAACCCCTACACCCCTAAACCCTCAAACCCTCAACCCTGAACCCCTGAACCCGACTCCCGAAAAAAGGGCTTCGGATCCTCTCTTCGACTTCTGGGAGCCGACTGCCAAGCCCCCCCGGGGCCGCACACGCCATGGGAGCCCAAGCGACCGAGGCCCCAAAAGCCACGAAGCCGTCATGAAGCCTTAAAGCCCAAACCCCGAAGGACCAAAGCTTTAGAGTGTTTCGGTTTAGCAATGTATAGAGCTTAGGGTCCTAAAGTCCCAAACCCCAAACCGGTAAGATGAAGCACAACCACTTCGTCTGGACAAGCCCGATTGCCCCCAACCTCGATGCCTAGGCTTCAGGGTTTAGGGAGGGCGGAGGCCTAAACCCGACCCTAAAGGCCATAAAAAGCAGTCAACCTAGAAACAGGTTTTGAAAGCGGATTTAGCTGGCGCCCGTTCCCCAAGACGTAGGACTGCCTTATGATGCGCCCAGTGAAAGAGGGCAGATGTAGTCTGGAAAGCCCGCATGCTTTCTGAACAAACTTCGAACGCCCGTCCAGAAAACAGTAAGTTCTTGAAGCCGCGTAAGCCCATGAGCACTTAAGCCGAATGGCGCCGGCCCAAACGGCGTCTTTGCGGCGCTGGGCTGAGTGCACGTTAATGCCATCTGCAAGCGGCATTGGAGGTGGGACCCCCCACCGCTAGACATAAGCTGTAAATCTACAATAGGAGCCTTAATAATTACGTATACTATTTTGGGATTTATAGTATAATGGGCCCTAAAACCCTATTCTAATTATTAAGGCCCCAAAAGTACAATCTCAACCTGAAGCCCGAGCCATACCATCCCGAAGCAGGCAGAGAAGCCACAGAGAAGCCTGCCCCGTCCCCTCATTAAACCCTCAAGTGCGAAAGCTTCCGTACCCCAAACCCTCCGGACATTGAGGGAGGATCTGAACAAAAGGGTTCCTGCCGAAGATGCCGTGATAGCAATACCAGACATCAGAGAGCCCGGCGAAGCATGCTCATAGGATTGCATACTGCTTACAAGACTCGATGAGGCTTGAGGTGCAGGGCTGGAGGAGTGAAAATGGTTGGGGTTCAGGCCTTGAGATTCAGGCTTTAAGCAGTTTCAGGGCTCGGGGGAGCTTAGGGCAGCAAAAACGCAGGGTTGCGAAGAGTAGAGAAGATACTACAGGGGCCCATACCATTTTGGTGGGTTCCTTGTTATAAGGATAGTATGATAGGCCCCAAAACCCTATTCTACTTATCAAGGCACCTATAGTATAGTACCCATATCGATTCCCAAAAAGTGACCCTTATAGAGACCCGTTCAAAGGAACCCTGGTCTAACGATTAAGAAGCTCCCCTGAATCATAGAAGGGACCGAGGGGCTGCGGGTAGAGGTCGACTGCAGCCTAACCCCCGAAAGCTCCTCTGGTTTAGGGTTTACTAGGGTTTAGGGTTTTAGGGTTTAGGGGTTGAGGGTTTAGGTGTCTGAATTTCAGCCTTAAACTCTTAGAATCCGCCGCCGGCGAGCTTCACTTTATAGCCTGGCCGCTCGAAAGCAGCTGCCCGGGGCTTTTCCGAAGCCCTTCTTTTCACCTTTCCTCGGGTTGACGACTTCCCACGAGAAGGAGCAGGCGACTTGGTGAATAGGATATGCAAGGCAGCTGCAAAATGTTCCTTGAGAGACTTTCCAGCAACAAGCCAAGAATGTTCAGTGCTGAACCGCAACACGCCACAGCAAGCAAAAGGCTAAGATATGCTCAGAGATCTCCCTGCGTGTCTCGACCCTTGAGGGGCGATTCAGGGTGTCGCTCGACGCTGGGTTTCGGATGCTCATGCCATAGCTCTAGCTTGTAGGCTTTCAGTTTAGGATTTTTAGGGGCTCAGGAACGCATAGGGTTTTAGGAGTTGCGATTGAAGGCTGAGGATTCAAGAAAATGTGTGCATTGGGGAGTTTTGGGTTTGAGGGACTTGGGATGTAGAGCTTCAGGGATCTGTGGATTGAACTCATGGATGAAGCCCTTGGCTGACTAAGCAGGATGTAAGTGTTGTGTTTTTTGTTTTTGTTGTTTTGTGTGTGTGTGTTGAAGTGTTGAAGGGTTGTTCAGTGTAGGGCTCAGGGTTGCCGGCTTATAGCTTTCATGTTCTTCTGGGGTTCACGAGGATATCTAGGCTCTCTCCCTCTCTCTGTCTCCGAACGTGCTAATCGTTTCTTGGCCTTTCGTGCATCAGATAGAATGTCAGCTGGCGGACAACATCCAGATTGAGTGTTTCTCTGCTGTTTTATGTTAGATGTTGCCATGCTGAACAGACTCTGGTTCAGGAAGCTATGATATTTTCATATGCAAAATTGCACGGTGCATTGGCTAATGCTAGAAACGTACCTTGATGCATGGCTTAGCTTGGGCTTGTCCTGTACCCTGTTTCAGGCTTCTCGAGCCTCACGGCTCCCAGGGTCAGTATGGCAATATACTGTACCTGTTTCAGTTGTTGAATACAGAGACAGCAGTTGATGTTCTTCTAAAGAACTGACTTTATCGGCTTGTTTCAGGGTGAGCGCCCGACACCCATGTTTGGAAACCCTGCATGGGGTTCTGACCAGACTCAGACCAAGCACAGTATCGTCGCACAAAAGAGTGGCCGGAATTCTTTAGCATTGACCAGGTGACCAGGTGTGCTCATTCTGCAATCTACTGAAACACGAACTTCTTGCGCCCAGCTACATCAAGCTCTGTGTACACTATGGGTCAACGATTCGGTTTCTGTGCTGACTTGTGGTCGTTCCTGAGCCGATGCACCCATAAGCTATGCAGGTACAGCAATGACACGATGTAGCAGACTAATCTGCGCACACATTCGTATGTACTTATTACACAGAAGACATACATGCCGAATCCACTTAGCGTCCGGTGTTTGTGCTTGTTTCCTTTCTCATATCCCCTTGATAAACACATTCAGACGCATGGGTGCATGCGCGCATACATGCCTACAGACCACATTCCTGCTGGCATGCATCAGGACATGGGCATCGTATGATGATGTATGAGAGGTAAGGGCATGTATGCTCGCGTGCAAGTATACATGCATGCGCAAATACATACATTATGCATGCATGGTTATGCATCATCATTACGGCTTTACGGATTTGTCTATCTATCCATCTATCCATCAATCTGTCTACCTGTCCACCGATCTAGCGATGTAACTAGTTGTCTAGTTATCTATCTACCGTCCTACATATCTATCTATCTATCTATCTACCTACCCATCTATCATTCGATCTATCTCTCGATTTTCACAAGTACGTGCGTAAAGATATACACTCTCAGGCACACGTACATACATCAGGTGAGATCAGCGTAGGCATGTTGCAACCCATATCAACTTCCATTGCATGTGCTGACACACAAGTGGGTAGATACCTAGGCAAAAGTATCACACACATCAAGACCCGAATCCCCTCAACCGGGTCAGATGGCTTCCGCAAAAAAACGTCATGGGTTCTTTCTGATCAACACGGCTTCTCCTTCAGCTGCGTCTAGAACTTGAAGTGTCGGGAGGGTCATCTATCTTGCGGGATCACGGGCTTACTATAAGACACACAGCCCTGCAGGCACAACTAGGATACCTCTCCAAACTTTGCTTGCCATTACCCATAGACCTTTCAAGCAGATCGTGGACTCGTTTTTAACCCTGAACTTGTACCGTGTAAAACCTTGAAGCTGCTTTCCCGAAACCTTGCAAATCAGCATGATCGGACCCCTTCAATAAGCGGGTGCCACTCACACGGCATTTCGAGCTACAGGAAACCCCGAAACACGTAGAAAGGCCGCCGCTGCGGCTGCACGGCGAGCGGCAGCAGGGGTGGAGATGCCCGTGCCGCCGGCTGCAAGGTGAGCTCGGATCCATGGAGGGGCTTTGCCTCTGCCAACACTTTCCTACTAGAAGCATAAGAGCAAAAATGTGTGTATTTATATATACATATATATATATATATGTATATGTATATGTATATGTATATATGCTAGCTTACCAGTATTCCGTGGGAATTTTGGGGCCTTGACCTCGGCAATCTCCATCCTGAATACTTGCACACTGAAGCACCGAAGCCAATTGCTGGGGATCGGCCGGCTGGACTTGCACAAACCATAAACCTTAAACCATAAGTCAGTTTTCAATCAGCCACCTGTCATGTGCTGGCATCTTCGCGCTCAGCCATAATACTAAACATGACTTTAGATGTACAGTTGACTTATGTATGTATAGACATAAATACGTAGGAACATCATTTATATATATATATATATATATATATACATACACTTATTTATTTAAACATATTTCTATATACTCCGTCCCTTTCCGCTGGGAGGCGGAACGGCTCCCTGCTCCTCCGTGCGCCTGCCGCTGCCGGCGCTCGGGTTTCACCGGAGCGTGCCTATGAGGAGGCTTGCTCTTTTTGCTGAGCTATTTGAGTTTAGGGTTTAGGGCCACCAAGGTAGGGCAGTATGGGGTTTCCGATTTACAAGGGTTTCGCTACAGGGTTTCGGATCAGTGTTTGGGGTCTAGGCTTTGAGATTTAGGGGTTCTTACCCAAGATAGGCCGCTGGAATGGATGGCGCCCTTGTATTATAGTCGCCTTAAGATTCAGAGTTTCCACGTTAATCTTGACGAGGGACCAGGGTTGTCAACCCAGGGTCTGCGAGGGTTTATGCTCTGCTTCGTTGTCCTTTAGGTTGATAAACCTCAACTCAAATAACCATTGTCACACTGCAACAGTCGCAGCCTCTTGTCTAACTACTGGGGTTTGAATGAATAGTGTAATGTTAATTGCTTTAGATTGCTTACAGGTTTTTTATGGACCCCAAACCCCAATCGAATTTTGCCCTAATCGAATTCGCGGTCCGTCCATGTACAGAAGCCTTTAAAGCAACCCTAATCTAACCGCTAGGCCCCCGCTAGACTGTTTCGCAATTCATTCTGGTCTGCCGAAACCCTAACCCTAAACCCATGCAAACCCGAAGCCCTAGAAACCCAAGTCCCGAAACCCTGAATCCTTCAACCCAAATCCCTAAATACCCAAAGCCCAAACTCCCTAAAGCCTAAGTTAAGCCCAAATCTTCAAACCCGAACCCTAAATCCCCAAATCCTTAAATCCGTAAGCCCAACTGTAGCCGAAAAGACCTACCTTTTTTGAGGAACTATATAGAGAAACCACAATAAGGAACCCCAAAAAGGTGGGTTTTTTCCGGCTACCGAAAGTCCCTAAACCACCGCGAAGGCCTCCGAGCCCAAAACCGATGCCGCCTGGCGCTTCGAAGGCTTCCTAGTGGGCGGCGAGGCCGAAGCCCGAAGCCGTTAGGGCCCCTTTTCAGGGCGCCTTCAAGGGTTCCTTTTGAGGGTTCCTTTAAAGGTTCCTTTAAGGGTTCCTTTAAGGGCTCCTTTTGGGATCCTGTAAGGGTTTTGGGGATTTCAGGGTTTGGGGCCCCTTTCTGGGTTTGGGGTTCCGCTAAGGGTTCCTTTAAGGGCTCCTTTCAGGTTTTAGGGCTGTTTAGGGCTGTTAGGGTTCTCAGGTGTTTTGGGGTATAGGCTGTAAACTTCAGGTTTAAGGTGTAAGGGCTTTTATCGTTAGGAGTTGAGGGTTTTGCATTCTACCCGTACGCACCAATAGCTACCCTTGTTGAATTATGTGCCGGTTTTTGTGTTATGCACAGACGGGTATGTCGCCAGTGAATTTTGGATGCCCCAAACCCCTGAACCATAAATTTGAGTGGCACTGTCATTGTTTTGGTGTTTTGGCGTGACCTTGTGGCTTGGTGTAGGGCATTGGTCAGGGGTGCCCTAAACCCTAAATTTATAAACCCTATATCCTAAACCCTAAACGGAAGGTATTGCACAGGTTCCTCAGGAGGGACTCGACCAGGGTTTTGTGAGGTTTCGGTAGGAGCTCCTGAGTTTTCTGGTTTCTGCATTTGGGGTTTACGGCGACTCCTGATTCTGGGACATTGCGTGAGTTTAAAAAACAGGCCAGGATTAGGTTTTACCGTGGGCACGGATTAGTTTCAGGACTGCAAGGCCATGCAGGGCCTGTGCAACCGGTATAAATAAATGAATATGTATATATGTCTACATATATGTCTACATATATATATATATATATATATATGCATGTATGTATGCATGTACGTATGCATGTATGCATGGATGTATGTAATTATGTATGCATGTATGTGCGTATGTATGTCTGTTTGTATACTCTATGACAATATGTGCATATATACAAACTCTTTTGTATATTCTACATAATTATATAGATACAAAGAGCGTGGGAGTTCAGTACTCCTGGATTTGCCCTTGAAAACTGGGAGCTGGGGAGGCAGGCGTCCTCTGTCCGAAGCAAGATGCCAAGCGCACCCAACGAGACCCTGCACTTCTGGAAGCGACCCACGGACATCCACTAGTACATCATACCCCAAGCCCTAAACCACCTATACTCTCATATAAACCCTAAGCCCTAGACCCTAAATCGAGTACATTACACCCTAAACCCTAAACCACCTATAGTCTTATATACTGTTGCGACAACTACCCGTAGCCACTTCTCAAACCTGAAGCTCCAGTCTCCAAAGGGGCCCCCGATGCTCAACTGCGCTCGTGGCCAGGTTCCACGCGTGGATTGCGGGACCGAGGCTTCTTTGCAAGCTGCCAGCGTCATGTTGGTAGTGGAAGTGCGACAAAAATTCGGAATGACGGAATGCTTCGACCATGCTAAAGCCCCGAAGCCCAGAAGCTTACAGCAACATATGTGCTTGTTGGCAGCCGAGGCTCAGGCTTGCATACAAGGAGATCGACACCCCAACTTGAAAAAAAAAAGCGTAGAGCCTGCACCTAAGTTATACCGGAGAGCCCTGACCTCCCGAGGTCTTACATGTTTAGGGTTTAGGGTTCAGGGTTATGCATGCCAGCAAATCATGAGACCATCGGTTTGACGCGGCTTTCAGCTCCAAAAGAGGCCATTGCCCTGAACATTGGACCCCAATCGGCCCGAATAATTGCGGCGGGTTCGGGGCGCACGCTAGTTTAGCAAGGCAGGTAAATGGGAATCATAGACACGGGATTACCACTTCTATCTTGTTCCGACCCGCAACTTGACATATCGATACTATATCACATCTTGCTCGAACCTGATCTCGAGTGCATGCCCATCTTATCCCCGATGTCCAAACCGTCAGAAGCCTCGATACTTCGATAGTTTTCGGGTGTGGTGCTTGCAAGGCCCCCCACCCCGAGGGCCCTGTCATAAAAGCCTAAACGGCTCCTACTGCGTGAATTTTGGCTATGGAAGTGGGTAGCAGGTGAGTCTAGATTGGGTTTGCCCGGCTTGAGCGCTCTGTGCAGAACATGCGTTGGGGATCCACTGGTGTCACAGGTGTCGTTCGTGATCATTTATGCTTTGAGTGTAGATGTGGTGTGCTCTTAGCATAGATGCAAACCTTAGACCAAAGCGAACGACATCACAACACATGCGTTCGAATTTGTTTTGCAAAGCCAGTTTCCCGACTTCAACTTACACCCCATGTCATGCCATTGTGCGAAGGTAAATACGGTCTCCAGGGTGGTTCCTTGTTTGTTCACCACTCTGACGGGTAGGGTCCTAAATCACAAATAGCACGGGAGCCAGTGACAGGAACTACAAGGGACACTATAGGCCACCCCAAAAGTCCCACTTAAACCGGACGTGTGAACGAAGACCGCTATCTCCCTCTAGTCTCTATATGAAGTATATCATCTGTCCCCAGGGTTCCTGATCGTAGTCTATATGAGGCAGGTTTCCAGAAGGCGCTGGGCTACGTCCGACGACGGGTGCCTGCCCTGACCGATCCGTTGCTGAATTTTCGTTTTTTGGGGTTCCAGGTGCGCGAACTTCAAAAACAGGGGGCCTATCCCTAAACCCAAAGCCTATACACGAAGCTCCTTTAAAACTCAGATGAACAAAATTCAAGGGACCTTCTCTTTGGGCCTATCATCTTCACAAACTCGACAAACAAGCTTTGCATGTTGCTTTGTATGTTGTTTTAGGTCTGCGGGGCTTTCGGCTGGATTCCTCTGATTCTGGCATCCAAACCTCATGGCTTCCTGGTAGTACAGAATTCGGGGTTAAGTTTTTGTTGCTTTCAGGCTTAGGGTCTGTATCTACTTCGCCTAAAAAGAGGCTCCTAGAGAATGACTCTGCGTACTGTGGTGGGGATAAGGAGTTTAGGCGGTATGATACTAGAGACCCAAATTAGTATATACCAATACTAAATCCTCAGGACTCCAGTTTGGTTTAAGGCTGTGTCCGTGCATTCGGGCCTTCAAGTTACAACTGGGCCTTCAAGTTGCGCATGCAATTTCTCTAGGGTTTAGGGCGTCATTACGCCGCGCCGGTGCAATTCCCCGCTGTCTCCAGTCAGTCCAGCCGCGTCACAAACGGTGCTGGCTGTCGGTGTTTCCTCCCATGTACATAGTAATTAAATATTCAACAGCATGCGCTCTGGCCATGACGGCCAAACAAATAAAAAATAAAAGCAAGCGAGTTTATTGGACGAGTTCAGGGCTCCTTTCTAAATTATGCAGGCATTTGTTTTTATTTTGTGTTTAATAATTATTTCGCGTGCCCCCTTTCATCTATTTGTTCTTAAGGGTTGTCATGTATTTAAAATTTACCTTAAACCTTGAATTCGAAGCCTCAGTCTGCCAGAAACCCCTAAACCATTGGCCATCCTGAACCGCCCGATGCCCCGAACCCCCAGACCCTGCTATCCTGAACACCCCATGCCAACGCGCCCCGCCGATCTTCTGCGACAACGCCGCTGGGCTCAACTAGGCTCCCTGGTGGCTGGGCTCTGAACAAGAGCCCGCACCGGGGGGTGGGTTGGGGTCTGGGGGGCCTTGGAGGTTTGGGGTTTGTGGCTTCCTGGTTCTGATTCTGTAGGTTCATGTGGTCTTCTGGGCCAGGGTCGGGAGGGCATCGGGTTGGGGTCTTGGGAGTTTCTGGCTTTACTGGTCTGGTCCTGGTATTATTATTATTAAAATTTATTGTATCAGGTCTCTAGGGTTGCCGTCCTAACTCCCTGAAACTGTCTGCTGAAGCCAAGTCAAGCCATAAATACCCGGGTGTTGCTACTTCCCGTAAACCCTGAATTCGAAGCCCTAATCTGCCCTAAACCCTAAACCATCCTGAACCGCCCGATGCCACAATTCCCCGGACCCTGCTATCATCCTGAACACCCCAACCCAAGTGCCGAGCAAACCCACCCGCTGCCGATCTTCTGCGAAAGCGGCGCTGGGCTTGGCTACTAGGCTCCCTGGTGGCTGGGCTCTGAACAAGAGCCCGCACCGGGGGGTGGGTTGGGGGTGTGGGTTTGTGGCTTCCTGGTTCTGATTCTGTAGGTTCCTGTGGTCTTGTGGGTGGGTCGGGAGGGTATCGGGTTGGGGTCGTGGGAGTTTCTGGCTCTACTGGTATCTTCGGGGTCTTGGGACTTTCTGGCTCTACTGGTATCTTCTGGGTTGAACCCGTTGGTGGCTTGGGGCGGGTTTTGGGGAGGGTCTGGGAGATCTGTTGAGCTTCTTGCGCTTTTCGGCTTTGTTGGCTGGCACTGGGTTCTGGGCTTTAGCTCTAATCTTGGGCCAAGTAAGTGTTGGGGTTCCATTTTGGGCGCTAGGTTTGGGCTCCTAGGTCTGAGTCTCTGATTCTACTAGGGTTCTGCTTGCAGCTTCACCTAAACACTCGTGCCCTGAGCCGCTGACAACACTTTCTTATCATCATCCTTCATGATACTACTGACTGTTACGTTACTGCAGGTCTGCTGACTACCACTGCTACTGATTGCTGCTACTTTACTGCTACTGCGATTATATTGTTACTAGTTAGTGGTACTATTATATTACTTCAGCTACTACGCTGCGACTATTGGCAGTCAGTGCTACTGCTTACCACTTTGGTGTTTGCCACTGCGACGAGGATCGCTACTACTACTAACTGCTACTACTACGTCTAATAAATAAGTATTAAAATATTACTGCAGTTACTGTCTGTTACTGCTGCTGCTACTACCTTACTTTTTAATTCTTACTACTACTACTACTTAGTACTAGTTACTACTACTGCGTTACTACTACTACTGTACTACTACGTATTAGTTACTACTACTACTACTTAGTACTGTACTACTGTATTAAATTAAATTAGCTACACTGCTTCCCCGATTATTATTTTCCGGTCCGAGGCGTTGGCGGCGTGGGCCCTCCTTCGATCTTTGCGATGATGCCGAAGGCGAGAAACTAACCTGGTTTTCGATGAGCCGGGATGTTGGGAATTAGTAAATAGTCAGTGCAGCCTTTCAAGGTCTATTAAATTAATATAGATAGCTCAGACCTGGAAAAAACTTAAACCCATCCGCAAAGCAACTTGAGGATGTTCGGGGTTCGGGCTTTTTGGGTGGATTCTGGAAGCAACACAATCAAAGCCTCGTGATCATCCCCGAAACACATCCCCAAAGCTACTTCAGGGTTTCGGGGTTCGGCTTTTTCTGGTTTCAGATTGTGCTGTTGGTCCCAAAGCCCCCTGATTCTCCCCGATATTATAAGAGACAATGAATTGAATGAAGCACCCCCACTGCTCATCCCAAGAAAATAAAAACAAAATCAGGTATCAGGGGTCTAGGCACTTATTAATTATGCAGTAAACATAATCATAATACTACCTAGTGTTAGACGGGTAGGTAACCTTTAGCCCTAGGGTACAATCCCTATATAATCCTTGTAGAATCAAAAAGGTGAACCTTCAGTTAGCCCGGATACCCGACAAGTCTTACTAAGTATAAGCAGTATAGGGCAGTAACCCCTGACCGCATTGCAATCTCTCCCACAACATCTGGCCTCAGCTGCGGACATGGGCCCAGGGACATTGTATCAGCGCATTTCGCGCATCATGGCTTAGGGCAGCAGCTTGGTAGTGGGTATCATAGCTTTCGGGCACCATTGTATCAGCTTAATAAATTATAATTAAGGGCAGCAGCTCAGTCAGGGCATCATGGTAATAGCTTTCGGGCACTCAGGGCACCAGCTCAGCGAATCAGCTTAAGGCATCAGCTCCGGGCATCAGCTTGGCATTAAGGGTCTAGGGCATCATAATAGCTTCCGATGCCCTTGCGGAATGATGGATCCCAACGAGGAGGAGTCTGCCTCGGAGGAGGCACCAGCGGCGTCGTCGAGTGCTCCTCCTGCGAAGAAGCGTAAACATCGCTCCAAGCCCTTCGGTTCACATGCATTATTTGTTTTTGCAGAAATTAATACTTAAGACTACAGGTTTATTACGGGGTCATTCAAATTCAAAGCTTCTGAGGTCCTCGATGCATGGTCCGCACCAGGAGCGTCGGCGTGAGCGGCGAGCTGGAATCATGGAGTCGCAACGTGAGCGCATCGCGGAACTCGAGGCACAGCTCAAGACTTCTGGGGATCAGTCGCAGCATGATCGCATGGAGCTCGAGAAAAAGCTAGAAGCTTCTGAAGAGAAGGCGAAGCGTGATCGTGCGGAGCTCGAGGCAAGGCTGGAGGCTTCTCAGGTGGACCATGACAAGGAGGCACGGAGGAGCCTCGAGAAGGAGCGTCAGAAGCTGCTGAATCAACACCAGGTGATGGTCTCCAAATCCGAGCGGGACCTTGAGTCAATGAAAGAAGGCTACCGGAAGTTCGCTCAGCAGCAAGAAGACAAAAGAGCTGCAGTGGCAAAGAAGAAGCAGGATGAGATCCACGAGCTGCATGGTGCACTCTCGGCTGCCCTGGACGGCAGGGATAAGACTGAGAGACAGCTGGATGAGAAGAAGATCGAGAACCAGGATCTTCAAAAGGCTCTGCGAGACCTGGTGCCTGCCCAAGTTCTCAGTGACTATAGACAGGGCCGGAAGCCTGAGGCTGGCAGTGCAAGTGACTCTGGACAGGGCAGTGCAAGTGCTGGCAGTGATTCCAAAGGATGGCACAAGGGCCGTGGTGCAAGTGCTGGCAGTGATTCCAAAGGATGGCACAAGGGCCGTGGTGCAAGTGCTGGCAGTGATTCCAAAGGATGGCACAAGGGCCGTGGCGGCCACGATTGGCGTGGCAAAAAATGGTCTTGAGGCCTGCTGGTACTTAATTCTGGTTCTGCACTGGGCTTTTTTTGGCCATTTCAACGGGCCAACGACAGGCTGCGTGTCTGGTTCCTGGTGCTCTGGCTGGGCTTTTGGGCCATTTCTACGGGCCGCTGCTGGTGCTCTGACTGGGCTTTTTGGCCAAAACTACGGGCCACTGCTGGTGCTCTGACTGAGCTTTTTGGCACTTGCTGGCGCCAATCCGAGGGGTGGAGTCCTTTGTCACATCCGAGGCGTGAAGCCCTTGACAAAAAATCGTCGCGATCTCATTCCCACAGAAAACTTAAACCCTGAACTCCCAAGCCGAGCCCACACCTGAACTGCCCTCACCTCACACTTAGAAAAAATTGAATAGCTGGCACAAAGCACCATCACGCCCCGACCGAAGCCCGAAGTGCATTAAGTTACTGTAACTCAAAGCCCCCAAGTCCCAACACTCCAGAAATCACAACCTCTGAACCCTTTCCACAAAGCCCGACAACCCCCTGAACAGAGGCATCCTCAGCCCAAACTGGCTTTTGAAGCCCCCGTACTCCAAACCCCAGCAATGTAATAATAAGTAAGAGCTGAAACCCGAGCCCAACCCCCTAACCTCCGTCCCAAAGCCTGTCCACAGATTCCCAACACCGCGTGAAACCTCAACCATCCTCTGCACAGGCCGATCACCGAGAGCAGCTGTGCGGGACCTGGCGTGCT